CCAATGTTAAAATATTTTGCTTCATTCTGTATTTGTAAGTTGAATTTAAGTGTTCTTCTCCTTTAATCTTTAGTACCTTCTAGTTCCCTCTAAGATCCAATTTTTAAAGTCTTATCTTATTATTATTATTATTATTATTATTATTATTTTAAGAATTCAAAACAAAAGCATTTTCCCAGCAGAAGGATTCTTATAATTAATTCCAAAATCTTATTTCAAATTTATCTGGGCCCTTGTCCCTTTGTAACTTTCTAAAATCAAAATTTTAATCACCCTTTTGCTGTTTATTCCAAAAAAAATTTTAAGTCCTTAAACTTGTATGTAAAACTTCTTTCGCTAAGGACTGAAGGAAACTCACCCAGTGCTGTAAAATGTGTCAATCCAAAGGATCCTAATAGCTGAAATGCAGTTAACAATCAATTTCCGAAAGTGATTAGAAAAAGAAGTACGCGAACCCAGTGTCCTTTTAAAGGCACCGACCATGGGTTGAGCAAGATGGCTATTCTCTCAACTCCCAGAGCTCTAAACCCACTGGAGACTGCTGTCTTGCAGTCTCCTCATGAGGAGCACTTATGGATGATCTCAAGTCCTTTCCTTGTCTGGAGAGGAATTACGAAGAGCCGATCTACTTGCCAGCTCTTCATTCCGCCACGGTCATCAGCTCTACTTTTCGTGAAGCTGTCTTCAGTCCACCATTTCCTCTCCAGAAGTCACTCTTACAGATCACTCTTAATAGATTCAATAGTGGCTGGTGGGGTTCAAAGAAAGCAATTGATTTCTCCTTATGTCAGTTACTTGGCTGTTATTATTACATGACTGTTCTGTTAGAGGCAGAGGGGCTTCCCAGTGAAATGGATAGCAAGCAAATTGTGCTGACCTTTAAGTAACCTTCAATTTCAAGCGTGGTATTTACAATGAAGCCCTTTGGCGCACTTTCTCTCTATTTCCAAAACATGTATTTTGTGAGACACAAATTATTTCACTCTTTGAATTACAGCAACAAGATGCTGTTGGTACTTTAAACCTGAAAAAAAAAAGTGGCAGATGCAGATAAGCACGAAGGCACTGTGCTGGTAGTGCCTTTGAGAGTAGCCTTAGATAATCAACCTCAGATAATGATAGGAAAGCAGACTGCTGTTGAGCTTCTGAAAGCAGGAGTAATTGACACTTCTGGAGGTCAAGCTGCAAGCAGGAGGGTCTACTAAAGAAACTAGATAATCTTAAGTAAACTGCATATGCAATGTGTGAAACATAATTGATGTGGTTTCCCCAACCCCTATAAATTGCTGCAGAAAATGGAAATAGAGAGAAAGTGCCCCAAAGTCTTCTTTTAAGAAACGTGGCATGCAGGCAAATTGCTCCTAGTGGGGTTCAAGTCTACTAACCTGGAAGCCATACCTGGATCAGGTCAAGGGAGACTTTGTGGGGGTTTATGCACATTGATTCCTACTTCTCTTTAAATTCAAGTGATCAATCTACGTACAACCACTGGAACTATATACGGTGGCAGCACTGCTTAAATTTAATATGAGTCTACTACCTTTAATTAACGTACATATTCCCCCTTTGTGCATATGATCATAGATAATCCATTTGGGCTAAAACTGGACCACATATAGAGGAGTTACTGATTGCATTCTCTACAGATACTTAATACTGTCTGGCAATTTTAATGCAGGAACTGGGGTAAAGGACAAAGGAAACTGAATTATTATAGCTTTTCCTATCATGCTATTTTGCCACTGAAGCCAGATCAAGCCAAATCAACCTTAAAATAAAAGATTTTAAACACAAATCAGTTAGAATCTGCTGTTCACCTCCAAGATGTATTTGTAAACAATTTCAGGCTGCCCATCCCTAAAGTAAAGAAACCCTGAGCTGATTAATCCTGACAATAAATACACAACTAGATAAGATGTGGCAGGTAGACAACATGTGTAAACACACCAGCACACTTCTCATCCAAGCACTTTTGCACAAAATGCACATGCTGGTACAAGACCCACAACATGTAAGGCTTTGTTAATACCTCGATGAACAGCAAGCTCTTGATATCCACAGTTAACATAAAGAAGTATGAAATGGCTTACAACATACTACATGACGAAAAGAAACCTCTACTGACAGTAAGTAGCAAAGTGGCGATAGAGAACACAACAAAGCAGATGAAAGGGTGCACCAACCTTCGCAAACTGCAGACACTGCCTCCAGCGGCACTTCTGGCGCTTGAGGTTCTGTCCTCCAAACTTGGGCTTATCGCAACAGAAATCACAGCGGCCACAGTCTGTTTTCAGCAGGCAGGCTTCACAGTCACCACACTTCCGATTTTGCCGACTTTTGGAGGAATGCTACAAGGAGAAAAAGAGAGGTATCAAGAGAAGCCAGGAAGAATATGCTGCAAAACCCAGGACGATGCCTGAGCAATCCAGTTAGTTCTAAAAAGGCACAACATCCAGAAACTTTGTATTATGAGAGAGTTGGGAAAACAAATCTACCTCAAATGCAGTTAAAGCGTAAACAATTCAACTAACTCTATTCTTTCAGAAATCTTAGAACCTTTGTCTCTTGCAGGAAATTTTTAAACTGTGAAGTTAGTTTTTACATTAAAGTTTAGAAAATCAAGGAAATGCAAATTGTTTCCTGGATCCAGAAGGGCCAACTTAACTCTCACAGTCTAACCACAAGGAACTGTCTATCATGTTCATGTCTATCCTTCTGAAGAGCATAGCTGCAACTTTCCGTTCCTTGCTATGCCAATGATCACTGGGATAAGGACAGAGACCTCCATATCAAGTCTTAGCTGCACAGAGTTGTGTGGATTCAATTTGTGCAACATGCTGGTTTGGTCTACTGTAACTATAGGGTGCTGCCTAGAGGAATCACCTAGGTTTTAGGATGAAAAGCGACCACTTCTAAGGACTGTAGGAGTCTATCCCATACTGATAAAAATAGACTGCTGTGTATACAAGAGGGTGGGTACCCTGTGATCACTCTTTAGGCAACTCATATCTTCCTTTTCTTTCTTATTCTATGCAATTGTCAAGAATTACTGTTCTAAGTTTATTGAAATTAAATCCATGATTTATTGCTGTCTCTGCCTCTTTTGGGAGTGACAGACTTATGAAACTCTATAGAGCAAGTTCTATAGCTACTCACTATCCTTCCTCCCACTTTGGCTACTCATAGCCCATTGGATCCCAGTACAGAATCTGTTTTGTACTTCACTTGGGAACGCAGCCTTTGTTGTGGATTCAACTAGTCCTCATCACCTGATGAGTTCACCTGTTTAACCTGTTTGCCCTAACTCAAAATTGGCCACGTCCAAATAAATCAGAAAACCAAAAAAAGAAACACATTTTACCACACTGTTCTTGAGCTTAGCCACAGGATGCTTGGGAGGACGGCCCACTTTCTTCCTCTCTTTCGCCACCCCCAATTGCTTCTTCTGTTGGGAGGAACCCAACATGAGTTAGTGGCTGGGAGGATTTGAAAGTCTTACTTGTTCCCCAAGACATTTTTAGCTCAGAAAGTTGGAAAACATTGCAGCATTCTTCTCCCACTGAAAGGCTCCCAAGGCAGAGCTGTATTATGTGCCTTGTATCATAGCACAGCCAAATGAAATGGGTAAAGGACTAATTAGGGAAGAGGATTCCAAGCAGGAGAGTTAGGGAGCAGCACAGTGATTCTGATACCTTTTATTAATACCGTCCAGATTATAACCATGTCTAAAGTAACTGATTTTGGAGAACAAAACCTTACTAATAGTTAGGTCTTTGTTCTGAATCAATCACAAAAGCATTTTCTTCTAGGAAGGATTATTCTAAAAGAAGTAATTATAACAGCCAGATGCCACCAAGCTAAACGTTTTATGGGCCAGCTGAACATGGCTTCCAAGAAAGAATCTTGGATTCAAAGAGAAGTAAAGAGCTGTGATGCTTCATGGGGAGCAAATAAACAAGCTCACAATTTAAGTAATACTTTATCAAATCCTATTTAAATTTGTGGGAGCTCACTGCTTGCACTTTAGATTCAAGGATTCTGAACAAAACCCTCTTATTGCCCTGGAACTTTCTCTATGACCTTTTTAATCTCTTAGACTGGAACACAGTTTAAAATCCTGCTCTGTGGCATGATTATTTTATGTTCAGATTCTTTCAATAAGGAAAAAAGTCAGTGGGAAACAGGCATAGTGCAAAGGAAATGGACAGATTAGGGTATTGCCTTTATTTCTAAAGAATGGCTCTGAATTCCACAAGCCCACTTGGGGGGTGGGAGATAGGCCCCCAGCTGCCAAAAAAAAAAAAACAAATAAATTAATAAAAGGCAGATATGACACTTCCTGGGGATGATAAGTTCCCTCTCCCCCTTTAATATATGAAAGAAAGAACCTGGACCCTGCTACAATAGGAACATTTGTCAGTTTCAGCCAGTTTTAAGAACACTGAAAATTGCAAATAAGAGAGCTAGTTGAGGCTAAAGCAATGTTTGTAATGCAGGAGTAGTCTTTCCTTAAGCCTGAATCAAAAAATACATCTAAATAATGAAAGAGCTAACTAGTGCAAATGTTATTTCATATTTCATATGAATTTCACATTATTTCCCCTCCTAAGTTCAGACTTCTCAAAAAATACTCCAATCTCAGATCCCAGGTAGTAAAATGCTGACTTCTCTTTGCTTTGAAGACCACTGACTCTGTTTACCTCTGTCTCTCTTTCTCTCTTTTCTGGGCTCTTTCCCATTTTGGGGAAAGGGGTCGTGTTTTGCTTTGTCTACTTCTGGTACTATTGGTTTAGAAATTCTGTCCTAAGGACCAGACTGAAATATACTTTTGACCTTTTGAACTGAAATAAATTCAGTCTTTGCCAAATTGGAAAAGGACCAGAACATTTCATCACTGTTTGAAGGGGCAGGAATACGTAGCACAAGTAGAATAAATATGGAGATGGCCCTATTTTATAATTCCTTCACAAGAAAACATACAAGATTACTGTGTCCAGGTGGCTCTGGATTTCCCTAAACTCTATGCCACAGAAATATTTAGCATTAAATTTCAAGACAGACCAGCCTACTTGGATGCTATACATTTTCCCCCTATTGCATACATACCCTACGCCTTACAATAGGATTGCCTCTAGGATCCCTTTGTATGGTAGGTTTCCATTTCTAGAGTAAGAAGCAGCACAGAACAAGTGATGGAATTAGCAAACAGAAATTACAATCTTGGTGGAGACATATGACGCGTCTATAAATGAACAAAACCAAAAGAAGTGGCCGGGAAGACAGGACTGAAGTAAGACTAAGCTGACTTTCCTAGCTTCTACTGTACAAGCTAACCAAATTCATTTTTCTTTTTAATATTAGTGAAAGAGAGTTTATCAAAATTGTATCCAGTAGCAAAGAGGAAAAAAATTAATTGCAGTAGGATTAAATGAGAAGGAATGAAAATAAGCTGAAACTAGCTTTATAACTTTAAAAGAAAATATTTAAACATCTAGCTAGTTTAGGAAAAAGAAAGAAAATATTTTCAAACGCTCCTCATTGATCTTTGTTCCACCCAGTTTCCAGATTTACTAATTGAACATTTTGAAGAACATGGGAAGAAAATGAGTCTGAAATATTTTATCTTTTGGAATGAGTACGTGTTTTGTGATTAAGTTTTACTCATCCAAAATACATAAAATGTAGTTCTTATGTAAGGCAATTTATATTTTTAACTTTATAATATTAACCTAATATCCAAATATGGTGCTAGTTTGTAATACTGTGGCTGTATTCTTCTAATTTATACACTTTCTTTTATTTTTTATTTTAACATTTTTCCTTCCTTCTTGGATAGCAGTAACAAAGATATTTACTTATGTAGTAGCACAGGTACTACTGCAGCCCTCTTTAGCGACCAGGTGCTATCACAGTTTTGCTTGCTCTTTTTAATCACTTGCCTGGACACAACTCTATGGCTTACTTCTATATAGGTGCGTAGGTACCATACTCCAAGGCACTCCATTTATGCCTTTGGAGAGATACTCCTTGATGTACTTATCTGGGAGTAAGCTATTTCTGTCTGTACCAGCCCTTATCTCCATAGATTGGGGCCTTACCCCAAAGTAGTTCAATGTTATTTAATCAGCCCAAGCCCCAGACCGTTATGCAAATTTCCTTGAAAGAGCAGGTATGAGGACCACTTACTGTGGTAGCAGAGTGCCTCTGGTGGTGGCGGCTTGGGGCCAGCTGAGCCTTTAGAAGAGGCCCATCCTGACAGCCAAAGAAATGAAGAGAGCAAAGAAAGTGAAAGCATGAAGGCAGTCAGCATGCTCAAAGATATTGGAAAAGGCCTTGCCTGAAACTTCTGTATAAAAAAGCTCTTCCATCTTTTCATTAGGTTAACAGTGTGCTGAAGGAAATGTTCCAGAAAGGCACATTCAAAAAATATACAATATATTGCATTCCATAATGGCCTAGGACTGACAAAGTGAGACCCATTTTCCTAACTCTAGCTGTCTTATAGTTTATAAAGAAGGTTCCATCCCATTCTGTTCTATTATTCTAAGTCATAGTACCAAAAAATATATTGAATATACAGAGATGCTCGAGACACCAAGTCTGTCATCCACATTTAATTTGTAGAAAGAATTTGGGGTACACCTCCTTGATAGGAAAAGAAGGATCCTCCAACCTTAACTATGATCTTATTCTCCATCTTGTCCCTCCAGAACTACCCGGTACTTACAGGTCAGCAGAGTAAAGAACCATCCCCAAGGGGATATACTTATTGGAATGTACCCTAAAGTAAGAGATCCACTGTCTTGTTTTTGAATTGAATAATTCTTGCCACTGGAAGTTGGCCAGTCTTACCCTGTCCAGTGCTGGAGAACCAAGAACGCCCCAGTTGTTCCTAAATTACAACTCTAGGAATTCCCCACTCTTAGCTACGATGGCTGGGGCTGTAGGGAGTTTCAGTTCTGCCACATCTAGAAAGCCACAGATTCTCCAAGCCTTCAATTATTTCATGGAAATCCATTGAAAAGAACCACAGCACGCACTTTTGAAGACAGTGAATGGCATCATCACAGTATTCTGGTGAATCATGTATCACCAGGGTGACTGAAATAATGCATGAATCGTCTCTAGCTAACAGGAGATTCCACCATTTTTCTCCTAAAAATATATATTCAAAACAGAGCATGGAAATCTAGGTGATCACATACTGACATTTAATGCAGCAACCTCCTTCACTTCAATTCAACCAAGACTGAAAAATTATGCACAAAGGCACTACACCATTATTTATCATCACCCTCACACTCACTGTGGGCACCACTGGTGCAGCTGACAGCCTCTTGTGGTGTCGCTTTGGGACCCACTGGGCCTTAGGAGGGGACCCATCCTGGCAGGCAGAGGAGGGAAAAAAAGGAATTGGATAAAGACACACAAAGCTGAGGGAGCAACAAAAACTTCTAAGTTCAAGACCAAAACACTAGAACATTATTTATGTACCATCATTCCTCAAGAACCTCATGTTATCTAATAAGTTAGAGAAAGGGAAATGTGCTTGACCCAAGGCAGAGAAGGACATAGAAATCAAGCTCTTCTTGGTCCAAATATCATATTACAGTACAAATAATCCTCAACTTATGACCACAATTGGGACTGGAACTTTGGTTGTTAAGTGATGCAGTCATTAAGTGAGGCATGTGGCTGTGCCTGATTTTACCTTTTTTGCTGTGGTCATTAAGCAAATCACATGGTCGTTAAGCAACTCTGGCTTCCCTGATTAATTCTGCTTGTCAGAAGCCAGCTGGGAAGGTTGCAAATGGTGATCACGTGACCCCAGGATTGTAAATACATCCCCGTTGCCAAGCGCCTGAATTCTGATCACATGATCACAGGGATGCTGCAATGGTCATAAGTGCAAGGACTGGTTGTAAGTCACTTTTTTCAGCACCAGCATAACCTCAAGTGGTCGCTAAACAAATGGTTATAAATTGAGGACTACCTGTATTGCACTAGCTTCCAGCAATCACCATCCTTTAATTTCCATCTTATAAACTGGTCTGCTTTCAGGATCAACATATGTAACTAAGGGGTGGCGGGTGGAGAGAGAGGCAGATCCCTATGGACAGTAGCTCTAATTTTAATTTGCATGAAGAACTAGCGCCACTCACTGTAGTTAATGTTGGCTTTTTCTGCCCGCGTTGTTTTGGAGTGAAGATATCCTTTGCTGAAGCTGCTTCCTGGGATCAACCAAGAAACACAGGGCCAAGTTGCAGCAAGATAAGGAGAAAATCTATGCACGTACCACATAGGTATCTCCCCAAAAACAAAGATGGAAAGTCATGCACACAGCCACCTTTTGACTCACTGCATGCCAGTCACCAATTTGCACAGGCATCATGAACTAGGAAATCCACAAGGAAAAGGGATGCTGTTGCTTGGGAGAAAGGAGTTCCCTTTATCATCCTGTCTGCTAGGCTGTAGCATTGTTCCTGATTTGCCACGCTTGCTGCTGATTCATTCAGAAATCATGTTGGAATACACAGAGCTAGAGAACCATGCAAACAGAACAGAGGAGCAAAAAAGCCGAGTGGAATGGAATGGAATGAAAGTGAGCAAATGCCAAGCCCCAGGAAGGCCATACAGCAGGTACTTACTACTATAAGTTTCTTCGAGCTGCAGCTGTCCTTCTTGGGTGGGATTTTTTTCTGGAAGGATCAAGAGCCATTTAGTGCTAGAATGACAGGGTCAATATAAACCTCAGATACACAGGATTTTTAGGAATCACTCCTGTGGGATCTGTATTCACTGGGGTCCTTCACCAATGATCTCAATTTCAGGATAAAAGCATGAGCACAGCATGCATTCACTAGCTGTGAGTATTGCCAGTAATGCACCCACATTCAGGTAAATAGAATCCACACTTGCACTACCATTTCACTATTATTTTATGCTCTATTTAAAACTATTCTTACATTTCCTGATCATTTCCATACAGAGCAAAGACTGTGGAATCCTTGGGGTTCTCTGAGCTTGGTTGTTTTCTTGCAGACGTTTCATTACCCAACAATCCTTGGGGTTCTCTGAGCTTGGTTGTTTTCTTGCAGACGTTTCATTACCCAACAATCCTTGGGGTTCTCTGAGCTTGGTTGTTTTCTTGCAGACGTTTCATTACCCAACAATCCTTGGGGTTCTCTGAGCTTGGTTGTTTTCTTGCAGACGTTTCATTACCCAACTAGGTAACATCTTCAGTGCTAGAAGAGAGCAGGGTTTTTCTCTGTTTATATACAGTAGCTTGCCCTGCCAGTGTTGGAGGGGGTACTGTTTTCTCCTTTGTTCATGACATGACACACTTCCACATTCCTGTGTTGTGAAGAACAGACTTTGATAGTGAATACCCAGAATTCTGTTCTTTAAATAAGGCAGGGCCTCCCACACTCACACCTGGTTACCATTCTATTGTTTGAAACACCTGACTCTAATTTCCCCTTTAAATGAACTGACAATTCTAGAAGCTCACATACTTTTACCACACACAAATATGTAGCTTTGGATCATTTTCCTCAATAAATAAATGAATAAGTATAATGTTTTGACTCATTTGTTTAACTGGGTTCTCTTTATCTAGTTTTAGGGCTTATGTGGAGAACACATCACACTTTAGGTCATATTTATGCAGAAATGTTGAAAATTCGAAAGGGTTCACAAACTTTTAAGCACCACTTTATTTATGATGTTCTAGTTACTAAACAAGATACACCAGGCATCAACAGCTTATCCTCAGCCTCTAGATACCATATTGAGATTGCAGCTATATTACTACTTACTTGAAAATCAACTCTATTAAATCAAATAGGCCTTATATATAAAATATTCATGAATAATTAGGTCCCTCTCTGACTTCTCTCTTCATGCTTTTCAGTATAAGTTAGGCTAGAAACTCATATCTTTATAAATGAAAGCAAAGAGTCTCAGGAAGCTAACTGCTATCTTAGCAGCATATACTTCTATTCTCCTTCAGAATTGCAATATAAATATCCCTGAGCATTCCCCATCTAGTTTATATTAACACTAAAGGAACCAAATATGGTTCATTCCAAATTACCAACAAAATTACACTTAGAAATAACAGTACGTACAACAGTATAGAAAGAAAACGTCTCAGCGCCTAAGTAGCCCAGAAATAGACTAGAGAGAATTCCTGAAAGGCAATAAGCATAGACAAAGAAACATACATGTCATAATAAAGGTGAATTAAGATGTTTTTAGAAAGCTACTCCTAGGATGACATGCCATAGAAGCAGATGTTAGAGTTCCAAACAGCAAAGAAAAATAATGTAGAATCTTTATATTAGCAATTGTATGGGATCCTGCAACAATTGAACACCATTTTGTTCTAGGCTGAGCTTGGCTTCACTAACTTTTCATGCACAAAACTGTGGACTGATATTATAATAGCTGAGAACCAGTTTGATGCAGTGGTTAAGGTACTAGGCTAGAAACCGGGAGACTGGGAGTTCTAGTCCTGCCTTAGGCATGAAAGCCAGTAAGGTGACTTTGGGCCAGCCACTCTCTTTCAGTCCTAGGAAGAAGGCAATGGCAAAAACTTCTGAAATCTTGCCAAAAAAACTGTAGGGGCTAGTCCAGGCAGTCACCAGGAGTCAATACTGACTTGAAGGTACACACACAATTATAATAGTTGGACATATTACAGGATCACATCTTTTGCTGCTTAAAATAAAATTAAAGAATTGAGATAAATCAATATAGACTAGCAACTTTCATTAAATGGCATCATATTTTCATGGAAGTTAACGGGAAGAATTCCAAGCATTACTTAACTCATAGTAGCATATGCAGGTCTTAATTTCAGGCTAAAGTGACTTTCTAAAGTTCAATCTTTCTCTCTTTAAAAGGCTTAGGAATTCCAGTTAAATGACCATTTGATTCCATAAGCCAGCAAGAACTCATGGACCTTCTTTCAAAATAGCTAGCTTAGGGGGGGAAAATCAAAAAGGATTGGTAGCCAAATCTTATCTACGTTCAGTTTCCACAGAACGTTTGTGCTGGATCCTCACTGATTATCAGCATTAGACATTACTTGGGTATTCACATTGGCTACATTTCTTTATGTATCGGGAATGCAAAACAACCCAAATGAGCATAAAACGTCTTCTTTGGAGTAGAATTTGCAAACTGAAATTAATTATCAGTTTAGCTCTTAATGTGTTTACTTTTTAAGGAAGCCCTCCAGAAACAGAAAGGAAAAGAGGTGTTAACACTTAAAAAAAAAAACTTCCAGGGAATACAAGGATTCCTTGAAAGCTCAACATGATTACACAATGAGTAATACCAGCAGGCAAGCTTTTGCCAACATCAATTTTTTTTCTTGCAACTTGTAATTGAAATGAACCTTCTCAGTTTGCACAGGGCAAGATGTCCTAAAGCAGTTAGTTATTTCTCATGAACTGACTCAACAGAGAAATCATTGTGAGATAAGTTGTCTGAAGGCAGAAAGACAAAACAACTAAAGTAAGGGAATTCTACAACTGGAGCACTGGTACATGATGCTGGTCATTCCACTTCAACGTAAATGTCACAATACTGGAGAAGATTAAGGGAACGATGAACAAAAGAAGGTAATTTTTTTTAACAAAAATCTTATCACTGGCATTCAAAACATTTTTTGATCAGAAGAAAAGACGTGTATTTAATCATACTGAGATGCAATCCTCCATGGAAGAATATAGATGAACATTTATTCATTTAATATTTACCAAAATGTTATATTCATCCCATGAAATAGGCAGCTTGTTATAAACTATATAAATATATGGAGGATAGCTATATAATCAATAGCCCCACTATTGTGTGTCCCATCTTTATCAAGAACCTATAAATAACTATCAGACAAAGAAAAAATAAAATTCTCTAACCATTACTGGAGACTAATACTGAGGAAGAAAAAAAATGTCCGATAGATTACCCAGAATAGTCATGTTTAGCTTATACAAAGGGCTACTGCATGAAAAAGATACACAGACAAGACAGTCTATGAGAAAATGTAAGTGTGTAAGAGATTTTCAAACTTGGAATGTCAAATTGGATGAACCATGTTGCCAATTTCTTGCTACTTCAAATAATATGGCCCTATCTATTTTCCAGGATTACAGTTCCAAAAGACCCGGGGGTGACTGTTCTGTACTTCAAGATGCTCTCAACCTGGATCTAGAAGCACAATACTCAAGACAAACAAAAGGAGTGCTATATTTTATCAGTCTTTGAATATATTCTTCTTGAGCTGTTTCTCTTTTTACTCTGAGCAGGTTATTAAAAGCAAAGAAAGCATCCTGGCTAGAAACTGAGAGGTGCCCAGCATGGCTTTTGTGAGATGATCTGGCACTAGACAGAAAAACATTCAAGTGCCACTCTGCACAAGCAGAATTGGGGGGGGGGGGG